AGACATTTCAGGAACGCCATCTTGGAGCCGTGCCTCTCCTGGGGGAGGGGTGACTGGGATTAGGGGTGAGAGGGCATGCGAGGAGCGGAGGAGAGGCAAGAGGCATTTGAGTCGACTCTAAATAATCCCAGGCACGCCATCTCGGAGTCGTGCGTCTCCTGATAGGGGGTGAAGGGGGTGCGGGTACAGGAGGAGTGGAGGAGGGGGTAATAGACGAGTCGACCCTGAATAGTCCAATAACCGCTTTAAACACGGGGCAACGCAACTGCAGGAGCCGGTTTATCGCAGAGAGGATGACAGTAGAGGAGATTCCCCAGAGGACGATGGCACCTATTATCCCTGTTACCATGTACCTGACGTAACCATTGCTACACCTAGCGAGCGCACCTAGAGGAAGCGGTTCATGGCAGTAAGAAAAACGGTGGAGGAGATTTCCCATGGCCGGTAACACCTGATCTGGCCCTGGGACCGTCTGGCTTATGTAACCAGTGCGATAAGTGGCGAACCCACCTGCAGGAAGCGGTTCATGGCGGTGAGGACGACGGTGGAGGAGATTTCCCAGGGTCGATGAAGTTGAGCGCCTTGGCCATGGCGATGAACACCTCCCCTTGACTTGGTAACCATGTAACCAGTAACCACTTGTAACCAGTGTAGCACGCAGAAAACGCACCTGCAGGAAGCGGTTCATAGCCGTAAGGATGACGGTGGAGGAGATTTCCCAGGGGTCGATGAAGTTGAGCGCCTTGGCCATGGCGATGAACACCTCCTCGTTCACGCGCTCCGGCACGCCCTGCTTGCGCATCCAGTCCGAGATCGACAGCCCGTCCTGCTTCTCCACGTACGATTGGCCCTGCAGTAACCAGGTAACCAGAAGAACGGATGTAAAATGTGTGACCATGTGCGGGTGAAGGGGGGGGAGGGAGGGGGGGAGGAAATGCAATCTACAACCCTTGTCGGGAGTGCTGACCTGGATCATGGCGGGCAGAAGACCGATCCCGAAGAGGACCTTTTCGGGCCACGTGAGCATATCGTTGTTGCGCAGGATGGCCACCACGCCGTTGGCGGGCGCGGGCAGGTCGGGGAAGTCGAAGCGGGAAAACTCGCCGGGCTTGTCGGGCATGGCGAAGATCATCGAGTGCTCCTTCCACTGCAGCCGGTCCTCGATATCCAGCTCCTTGAACAGCTGGTGAAGAGGAGAAGGGGTAACCGTGAGAGAGCAAATTGGGCGCAGTGATCAAAGAACGCTTCGAGTTAACATCGCATGGCGAAGATCATCGAGTGCTCCTGCCACTGCAGCCGATCCTCGATGCCCAGCTCCTTGAACAGCTCCTCGATGGGTTGAGAAGGAGTGGGGAAGTGGGAGAGCTTGTTCGATGAACATGCCGACTGAGAAATTACTTCCCCCCGGACTCCCTTGTTCGTCGCGGCATTACGAGTTTCGAAACGTCTCAAAACACGAGCTTGTTCGATTAGCATGACTGCTGATATTTTTTTTCACACCGCGCTCTCTTGCTTGTCGCGGCATAACGCGCTATGTTTTGAGCCACGATATGGTACTGGCACGTGGTGCTCTGCTCGCTTGGTGCTAGTCGTATGGGTAGAATTCCAAGATCGGAAAAGTTTTACTGCCTAATTCAACCGTTAGCTGGTCAATGACTAAGTTCCCCCAGCTGCTACCTCAATGAAGCCTTACTGTACAAAGCGCACTGCTCAGATTTAGATTGCAATCACCTCTGGACCATCACGAACACTAACCGCGCGTATATCCTCCTTATCTTCAACTTTAAGGTTTCTGACAATCCTCCAGTGCATGTGCTCCCGTGCATGTGCTCCGGTGCATATGCTCCAGTGCATACGCCCCTCACTCACCTCCATCATGTTCGGATAGGCTCCAAAGAAAATGTGAAGGCCGGTCTCGTACCAGTCGCCATCCTCATCCTGCGAACACCACGCATCAAATTGTTTTTTTTTTTTTTAGAGACAACATTCACAACCGTGTCGAGAATACTAAAGTGTGATATCAGCGCAGGGTGGCAACTAAGAAAACGTGCACGCGAATCCATCGCGAGACTTGCTATACTGTGTGACATTGCTGTGAACCACAAGACCAGCGCACCTGCCACGCGGCGACCTTCCCGCCAAGCACGTCGCGCGCCTCATAGACGGTGGGGATGTGGCCCGCATCCACCAGGTACTTCGCCGCGCTCAGACCAGCCAATCCGGCGCCGATAATAGCCACCTTAAGCGGCTTCTCGGGCCGCGGGAGGTTCTTAAACGAGGCCGAGAGTTGCTGAGCCTCTCTCTGCGGCTCGGAGTCGAAATCCGGCTTCGGGTAGTCCTTGCACCGGATGTTTCCAGGCTGGTTCGTCCTGGTTTGATGCTGCACGCGGTTGGCTGACGTGGCATTGACGCGGGCGGATTTCGTCGCGCCGAATGCGGCGGACGACGCGAAGGCGAGCTGCTGAGCTGGCGCTGGTGCAGCCGAGCGTTGCGAGAGGGAGGAGGCAAGCTCCGCGCTCGCTGTCAGGCCACCGTTAGTGGCGTTGGTTGCAAGCGCCATGGCTGCTTCTAGAAAAGACGAGGATTTTGATAAAAGCGTGCTCTAAACGAGAGACGCTTGATGGAATTTCAAGGAAGCCCTGAAGGAAGGCGGCCACTTCAACCTGACAGATTCGCCCGCAAGCAAATGTCAGACAAGCAGCAACGGTAGAGGCTGCGCCTTCACAAACAAGCAGTGCCAGGTAGTGAGAAACACGTAACCTGCTCCTAAAAGTGCACAAGTAATAGGAGAACCAGGGCTACCTACCTCCAACCAGCAACAGCCCGACCAGCTAGGCCAGAGCTGAGCTCACTCACCCGTGAAAAAGCAGCAGTCAGGCAAACCTGTCAGCCAATCAGGCTGCAGATTGCGGATCATGGATTCCATCCCTTCCATGTCATTGCATTGAGGCTGCCCTGATCACTGCCTCGGTGTAGCAAGCGACTCCTCCCTCCCCCTAACCTCACTGCTGGTTCGTGCTGACCCTGAAATCTATGACCACCACTTTGTGCCACATAGACCCTCAAGTCCGACACCCTGATACGGCCTGCGATAGGAGGACTTTTCGTTGTGACACATCATCGACTGAATGGGCAGGGATGATCCCAAGCACAGACATTTCGACGTGGCGCACGCGAGTTTCCCGGGGACGCTATCCACACCTCCACACCAGCCGTGGCACAGCCTCTGCCACGAGTTCCCAAAACCCGAAGCTATTGCTTCCTTCGCTATACCGTAAGGGTGGTATAAGGCACTCATCGAACTGTATAGGTCATACCAGTTGGAAAAAATATAAAATTGTTCAATGTTTGATGGTCGAAGGCTTTGAAATAAAATTTTTTATTGCAATTGCAGGTGCAAACAACACCGCGAAGGGCTGGCAGTTGGGCATGGCGGAGAACAACGCATGTGGTCCGCCATAACAGGCGCGCCACAATTGCGCCACTTTTCCGCGCTACGGGGGTGTCCGAAGTAGAGCGTGAGGTTTCGGGACATCGTAGAACCGAGTGTTTGTTCTCTCCAACCGTTCTAAAAACAACGAATACGGGACTCTACCTTTCTGTACGTCGCGAGACGTCACAATTTGTTTTATTTCGGACACTCCCTGGGGCCGTTCGCTGGCCAATTTTTCACCGGCACGGCGAGGGAAATCAGGCATGGGGAACATCGATCGAGGCCTCGTGGGTTCGTGATGTCAGCATGCGAAAACGTCGCGTCGGTTCGGTTTCCCCAAACCAATTGCCCCCAAATCGCGTGCTCCTTCTCATGCCAAACCCGAAGCGCGGCCATCAGCCGCCCAGAGCTGCCAGGCAAACTCCGTGCCACACCTCATACTGCAAAATCGTGGTATGAGGCAGGCCAAGATTGGCATGCCTCTTGGCTGGGCAGGTTTACGAAACCCAAAAAAAAAATCGCAGCCACTTCCCCTTCAATCCTACCCGTTGATTTGCGCAATTGCGCCAGCTCATACCCATCCAATCGGTCACATTTTGAAATGTTAAAGGGCAGTTTTGACAAAATTGTGTGAATCTCATTCTCTCCGCTAGATTTTCCACGAAAGTGCGATGGGCTAAGAGGGCTTTTGATGGGCCCCACACTTCACTGCCCGCGAGTTTGTCTTATCCAGTCCTGCAGTCGTGACCGACGTAATCATGAGCCGGCGACGTTATGATTACCAAAGTACGGGGGCACCAAAAAAAAAAAACGTAGGTTTGGCTGCGCAGATTCCACGCGCGCGGGATTTGGTCGCCCGTTCCCCTCAACGTTCCCCTCGGAAAATTGCCAGCGAACGGTCCCCTCGAAATCACCAGTGCCAGGTTTGAGCTCTGTTCTGTTCCCGTCAACGTTGACGTTTCGTCCGTCAGGTTTGCAGATGCCGTGCTGTACGACCACGGCAATTCAGTCAACTTAGGGCTAAAAACCCATGGCAACCGTTTTTTAGTAGGTGTCATCCAGAAAAAGTGTCATCCGAGAATGTTGGAAACCCATCGCAACCGTTTTTTTTCGAAACTTCAACGGTTGCGATGGGTTTCCAACATTCTCGAATAACATTTTTTCGGGATGACACCTATTAGAAACAAGCCCTTAGATACCTTCAGAAGTTTGGACGACTACCGAAGTTTGGACAAGAAAGTTGGTTTCTCAATCTGTACACCTATTTACCCTGAAAACAGAAGACCCTAGGTTTGTTTCCCCAGTTTTCTATTTGCTAAGGCCCAGGTCTCCACCTAAACATGCACTGTAACAGTGTGTTTAAGCAAGAGATCGTGGGAGTAGTCAAGTCTCATAAACTGCTTCGGATTGGGGACTGTAAGTTTATTCGATCTTTAAGAACACGAGTATACCCGCTATTTAGACTGTCATCCCGAGAGAAAGGAAAAGTTCCTCGCCTGTCCAAACTTCGGTTGTCGTCCAAACTACTAAAGGTGATCTTATACATTTGCTGCACCCTCAACAGCCTGCTTCACCTAGTCACTTCGCTCCCCGTTTAGGAGTGTCGTGTCGCATCGAGGGCGTCGGATGAGCAACGTTGCTTAGATTCGTGCCACGTGTCATGCGAGCTCTGTTATTCGAGAATCGTCAACATCATCCAGAAGGACGAGCTGTGTATTCCTTATGCTTCAGAGCTTTTTAATTTGAGAATTCTCGAGAAACAATAACTCCTTGAACACGATTTCTGTCGTCACTGCAGCCATGGAATCTCTCCGTCGCCTTGCGACATTCCTCCTCGTCGTCGTTGTCGTCATCGGCTCGTCGCTCGCTGTCGCACGGGCGAAGTTCATCGTGCAGACGCACAGCATCCAGATCACCGAGCCGAAGAGCATTCGCGGGACGTACGACAGCGGAATCGCCAACTTCGGAGTGCCGCAATACGGCGGCACTCTATCAGGCGTGATTGTGTACATGCAGAAGAACAAGGCGGGATGCAAGAAGCTGTCGCCGTCAGAGGCGTTCAAGAAGGGTGCGGGCCAACGACCCACCATCCTTATGGTTGACCGAGGAGGTAGGTCGCTTTCTTCAGTGACGTCTTTGTACAGGATTCGCGAAACTGTCGCCCTCCGACTTGTTCAAGAAGGGTGTGGGTCAACGACCCACCAGTCTCGCGGCCAGGCCGCTTCCTACGTAGTGTTTAGAGACGTCATTAAACAGGATGGAAGAAGCTGTCGCCGCCCGAATTCTTGTAAGGAGGATTTCGGTCAACGTCCCACCATTACCGAGGAAGTAGTTCGACCCTGGAGGTAGGTCGGTTGTACTCCCGGTTTAGGGACGTCTCAAGCCGAGATGTAACGTTACCGTCCGAATTCGTCACCAAGAGTCTGTCTGTGCCAACGAACCACCATTCTCGTGATCGCCCGAGGACGTTAGTCACTCATACGTTCAAGTTCTAGGTTAGTTATAAGTTCTAGGTCACGTGTGAGTTCTAGGTTACTTATAAGTTCTAGCTTATCAACAAATTCCTGGTCACTTTTAGAATCTCTCCTCATACAACTCACTTACAATCTTTCACTCCGCGAGGACCATCTTAGGGATTGACGGAGCGAGTAGGGCACTCGCATTTTCTTTCTCGTCATGTAGGTCGCGGACAATCTTTCCACGTGTTTCGAGTCGACTTCTTGCGACATAGGTCACTCACTGGCAATGTGTCCTCTCCTATCTGGTCACTGCTCGTGTCCTGGCAATATATTCCCCCCTTTTCCTCCCCACTCCCCCCCTTTTCCTCCCCACTCCCCCCCTTTTCCTCCCCACTCCCCCCCTTTTCCTCCCCACCCCCCCCCTTTTCCTCCCCACTCCCCCCCTTTTCCTCCCCCACATCCCACCCCCCAGAGTTCCTGTTCACCCAGAAGGTGTGGTACGCGCAGTTGGGCGGCGCATCAGCAGTGCTGGTAGCGGACACGGACACAGAGGCGCTCATCACCATGGAGGCTCATCCTCCCTCTCCTCCCTTACCTACCCCCCCCCCCAAACCAATACCCCACTCCTCCAGAGTGCCTGTTCACCCAGAAGGTGTGGTACGCGCAGCTGGGGGGCGCATCAGCAGTCCTCGTAGCGGACACGGATGTAGAGTCGCTCATCACCATGGAGGCGCCCATCGACGACGAGGAGACGGACCGCTACGTCAACAACATCACCATCCCCTCCGCAATCATCGAGAAATCCACGGGGGATAAGATCCGCTCGGCGCTCTCCGGGGGGAATATGGTGCTGGTTGACCTGGACTGGCGGGAAACGCTCCCTCACCCGGACGAAAGAGTCGAGTACGAGCTCTGGGGGACCAGCAACGATATTTGCGGGCCGAAATGCAACGATTTGACCAATTTCCTGGACAATTTCAAGGGGCTGGCGATCACCCTGGAGCAGGGCGGGTATACCCTCTTCACGCCGCACTACATCACCTGGTACTGCCCCCCCGAGGAGGTCGACTCGATCGCGTGCAAGAACCAGTGCATTCACAAGGGGCGGTACTGCGCGCCGGACCCCGAGAGCGACTTTGAGCAGGGATACGATGGGAAGGACGTGCTGGTGGAGAACCTGCGGCAGCTTTGCGTGTGGAAGTGGGGGAATGACACCGGCAAGCCGTGGGTGTGGTGGGACTATGTGACGGACTTCAGGAAGCGGTGCGGCATGGCGGACAAGATGTTCAATGCAGTGTGCGCTGAGACCGTTCTCACGTCCCTGGGTGAGTCTCTCTGACCTGGTTATCCCTGGTTCTTCCTGGTTATCCCTGGTTCTTCCTGGTTATCCCTGGTTATCCCTGGTTATCCCTGGTTATCCCTGGTTATCCCTGGTTATCCCTGGTTATCCCTGGTTATCCCTGGTTATCCCTGGTTATCCCTGGTTATCCCTGGTTATCCCTGGTTATCCCTGGTTATCCCTGGTTATCCCTGGTTATCCCTGGTTCTTCCTGGTTGTCTCCCTTGGTGGCGTGCTCTCCTGCTCCTTGGTACCGTCCCTCCCCCTCCCAGGCATTGACGTGCACAGCGTGCGTGAGTGTGTGTGGGCATCATGAGGCGCCTCAAATCGGTGTGCGTGACTGACTGCTGAGTTGAATGTTGCCCCTACTCTCCCCCACTCCCCCTCCCAGGCATTGACGTGCGCAATGTACGTGAGTGTGTGGGCGACCCCACGCAGGATGTGGAGAACGCTCTGCTGCAGCAGCAGGAGGACCAGCAGGTGGGCACTACGTGGTGCTTGGAGGGGTGTTGTATATATCGCAGTGGTGGGGGGTGTTGTGAGTGAATGGGCAGCGTGAAGGGGCGAACCAACACAGGATGTTGAGAACGCTCTGCTGCAGCAGCAGGAGGGCCAGCAGGTGGGCGGTGCTTGGGTGGTTGTTGTTGGCGCATTGGCGGTTGTGCGGGAAGGGAAGGCAGGGTGATACAACACAGGATGTGGAGAACGCTCTGCTGCAGCAGCAGGAGGACCGGCAGGTGCGTGTGCTAGGGGGGGTTTACCTGAGCGCATTTGGGAGGATGTGAGGGACGGGAAGGGAAGGCAGAGTGGTGTGGGACGGTCAAACGCAGGATGTGGAGAACGCTCTGCTGCAGCAGCAGGAGGACCAGCAGGTGGGCGGTGCTTTGGGGGGGGAGGGGAGGGATAAGTGCTGCAAGTGTGGGGGAAGTGTGGAGTGCTGGCAGGCAAGTGACTGAGCACAAGACGGAGTGTGAGTGACACTTGAAGAGTGGAGTGCTGGCAAGTGATTGATTGCAGGACGTGCAGAATCCATCGCTGCAGCAGCACGAGGACACACGGCACGGGTGGGCGGGGTGGGACGGATATGGGTGCAGTGCAGGGATGAAGGGAGGTGGATTGGTGGGTGGGATGTATGTAATTCAGCGCAGGACGTGCACAACCATTCCTGCGGCAGCACGAGGAACCAAGCTGGGACGCTTCACGGGTTTTCACAGCAAGCTTAGCCCGGGCCAAAGTTGGGGGACGCACAGGTGGGCAGTGCTGGGGGGGGTGTGAGGTTCCGTGGGGGAAGGGAAGGCAGAATGATGGGGGGCGATTCCACGCAGGATGTGGTGGAGAACCTCCTTGTAGCGGCAGCACGAGGACGCAGGCTTGCACGCTTCATGCGTATTTTGAGTCGACTCAAAATACGCCGGGAAGGCAGAATGATGGGGGGCGATCCCATGCAGGATGTGGTGGAGAACCTCCCTGTAGCGGCAGCACGAGGACGCAAGGCTGCACGCTTCACAGGATTGCACAGCATGCTTTGCAGGGGGCAAAGCTGGGAGCAAAGCTGGGAGCAAAGCTGGGGGACGCACAGGTGGGCGGTGCTTGGGGTGGGGGGGGGGTTGATGTGAGCGCATTGGGGGTTGTGGGGGACGGGAAGGCAGAATGATAGGGGGCAATTCCACGCAGGATGTGGAAAACCCTCCTGTAGCGGCAGCAAGAGGACACACAGGTGGGTGGGCAGTACTCTCGGGTAGAGTGGGGACATGATGAGCGCATTGGGGGGGGATGTGTGTGCAGGATCAAAGGAGGTGGAATGGTAGATGGGGAAGGATGTGCGTGCGGGAATAAAGAAAGGCGGGATGTGGGCAGCCCCCTCTGCTGCAGCAGCAGCTGGAGGAGGACGCGCAGGTGCATGGTGCTTGGGGGTGTGGGAGGGGAGAGAGTAGTTCGGCGAATGGTATTGCAAGGGATTTTTATTTTATTTTTAATTTATTTATTTAATTTCGAAGCACACCTACACTGAAGGATGTGAAATTATGTGAAATATGCATTGCCCCAGCTGGGTAAGAGTGGGCCAGAAAGAATAGACCCCCACCCCCCACACCCCCACCCCCCTCTGCCCCTCTTCCCTCCCTCCCTCGCTCCCCCCCCCTTCCTCCTCCCATGCGCGCAGGTGGGAAAGGATGGGCGCAGTGACGTCACAATTCAGCCCACCCTGGTGGTCAACAACGCGCAGTACAGAGGTGGGGATTGGTTGGGGGGGGGCAGTACAGAGGTGGGGGAGAGGTGGGGGGCAGTTCAGAGGTGGGGGAGAGGTGGGGGGCAGTTCAGAGGTGGGGGAGAGGTGGGGGGCAGTTCAGAGGTGGGGGAGAGGTGGGGGGCAGTTCAGAGGTGGGGGAGAGGTGGGGGGCAGTTCAGAGGTGGGGGAGAGGTGGGGGGCAGTTCAGAGGTGGGGGAGAGGTGGGGGGCAGTTCAGAGGTGGGGGAGAGGTGGGGGGCAGTTCAGAGGTGGGGGAGAGGTGGGGGGCAGTACAGAGGTGGGGGAGAGGTGGGGGGCAGTTCAGAGGTGGGGGAGAGGTGGGGGGCAGTTCAGAGGTGGGGGAGAGGTGGGGGGCAGTTCAGAGGTGGGGGAGAGGTGGGGGGCAGTTCAGAGGTGGGGGAGAGGTGGGGGGGCAGTTCAGAGGTGGGGGAGAGGTGGGGGGCAGTACAGAGGTGGGGGAGAGGTGGGGGGCAGTTCAGAGGTGGGGGAGAGGTGGGGGGCAGTTCAGAGGTGGGGGAGAGGTGGGGGGCAGTTCACCTCCAACTTTCCTGCAAACACCTCTCCCACCTCTCCCGTGCCCCCCACTTCCCCCACCAGGCAAGCTGGACCCCATGGGAGTGCTCAGGGCGGTGTGCTCGGGATTTGAGGAAGCCACAGAGCCGGCGGTGTGCCTGGGCGCAGGTGAGAAGACGCCGTGTGCTCGGGATTTGAGGAAGCCACAGAGCCGGCGGTGTGCCTGGGCGCAGGTGAGAAGACGCCGTGTGCTCGGGATTTGAGGAAGCCACAGAGCCGGCGGTGTGCCTGGGCGCAGGTGAGAAGACGCCGTGTGCTCGGGATTTGAGGAAGCCACAGAGCCGGCGGTGTGCCTGGGCGCAGGTGAGAAGACGCCGTGTGCTCGGGATTTGAGGAAGCCACAGAGCCGGCGGTGTGCCTGGGCGCAGGTGAGAAGACGCCGTGTGCTCGGGATTTGAGGAAGCCACAGAGCCGGCGGTGTGCCTGGGCGCAGGTGAGAAGACGCCGTGTGCTCGGGATTTGAGGAAGCCACAGAGCCGGCGGTGTGCCTGGGCGCAGGTGAGAAGACGCCGTGTGCTCGGGATTTGAGGAAGCCACAGAGCCGGCGGTGTGCCTGGGCGCAGGTGAGAAGACGCCGTGTGCTCGGGATTTGAGGAAGCCACAGAGCCGGCGGTGTGCCTGGGCGCAGGTGAGAAGACGCCGTGTGCTCGGGATTTGAGGAAGCCACAGAGCCGGCGGTGTGCCTGGGCGCAGGTGAGAAGATGCCGGGTGCTCGGGGTCTGAGGTCGTCACGTCGCAATATAGGCCATAGCGTTCATGCAGATGAGAAGGCAGAGGGCAGGTCGGATCAGGGGCGGAGCAGAGGGCAGGTCGGGGGCGGGGCAGAGGGCAGGTCGGGGGCGGGGCAGGATACGTGAGAGGGCTCTGGAGTCTGGAGTCCCTGGGCTGACAGCTGCTGTCACAGCTGTTGGATTGCATGGCGTGGTGGTTGGCGTGGTGGTTGTGGCTGCGGTTTGGTTTGCCTGCCATCATCCCCTCCCCTGGAGTGATTCTCGCTGTTGCCAGAATGATTGACGGTCCTCTCGTCGCCTTTGATTTCGGCCACCACGTGAGAGTATTGACTTGTGAGGCGCCTCAAAAGTCCCATCGCCTTTGATCTGGGCTGCCGCGTGAGAGAGAGTATTGAGACGTCTCAAAGTATGTATTCTTTTTAGGCATCTCAAAACAGATCGACTTTCACAATACTCTTGCGCCCCCCTCACTGGCGGGCACGTGCTCTCGTCTGTGTATGTGTGTTGGATTCAGACTTGCATGCCTGTGGTGAAAGACGTTCTGACCACAATCTGTCTGACATATGTTCTCGCCTTGTTACTGTCTGCTCTCTGCTCTCTGCTCTCTGCTCTCTGCTCTCTGCTCTCTGCTCTCTGCTCTGCTCTCTGCTCTCTGCTCTCTGCTCTCCGCTCTCCGCTCTCCGCTCTCCGCTCTCCGCTCTCTGCTCTCTGCTCTGCTCTCTGCTCTCTGCTCTCTGCTCTCTGCTCTCTGCTCTCTGCTCTGCTCTCTGCTCTCTGCTCTCTGCTCTCTGCTCTCTGCTCTCTGCTCTCTGCTCTCCGCTCTCCGCTCTCCGCTCTCCGCTCTCCGCTCTCCGCTCTCTTCTCTGCTCTCTGCTCTCTGCTCTCTGCTCTCTGCTCTCTGCTCTCTGCTCTCTGCTCTCTGCTCTCTGCTCTCCGCTCTCCGCTCTCCGCTCTCCGCTCTCCGCTCTGCGCTCTGCGCTCTGCGCTCTGCTCTCTGCTCTCTGCTCTCTGCTCTCTGCTCTCCGCTCTCCGCTCTCCGCTCTCCGCTCTCCGCTCTCTGCTCTCTGCTCTCTGCTCTCTGCTCTCTGCTCTCTGCCCCCTGCTGCTGCCTGCCAGATGTGCAGACGAACGAGTGCGCGACTAACAATGGCGGCTGCTGGTCGGGCTTCAATGTGACGGCGTGCAAGGTCAGTGCGTCTTGGGTCGATTCGAAAGCTCCGTGTGACATTGTAACGAGTTGACGTTAGAGTTGACTTAGGCTGGGCTTTAATGGGGCCGCTTGCAAGAACAGTGTCTGGTGGAAGGTGCGGTGAGGTGACTTTTGACTCGACTCAGAAGCCACCTCAATGTGGCCGCTTGCAAGATCAGTGTCTGGTTGAAGATGCAATGAGCAGCAGCGCCTCAGATGAGGAGGAGGGCAGAGCTTCAGGCGAGGAGGGCAGAGCTTCAGGTGAGGAGGGCAGAGCTTCAGGTGAGGAGCTTCAGGTGAGGAGGGCAGAGCTTCAGGCGAGGAGGGCAGAGCTTCAGGTGAGGAGGGCAGAGCTTCAGGTGAGGAGGGCAGAGCTTCAGGCGAGGAGGGCAGAGCTTCAGGTGAGGAGGGCAGAGCTTCAGGCGAGGAGGGCAGAGCTTCAGGCGAGGAGGGCAGAGCTTCAGGCGAGGAGGGCAGAGCTTCAGGTGAGGAGGGCAGAGCTTCAGGTGAGGAGGGCAGAGCTTCAGGTGAGGAGCAGAGCATGATACAGTATTCGTACCTATCGCACCTCTCTGTTCAGGGTGTGCCAGTGTCCCAGCGATCCTGTCTCATGGTCGGTGTTTCGTCCCACAATTGTCCCACCACAGCACACCTGTCTGCCTCCCCTGCTCGTGCACCTGCACCCCTCTATCCTCACCCCTCCCCTCAGGACACCTTTCGAGGCCGGGTGTGCCAGTGCCCCAGCGATCCCGTCTCAGGGGTCAACTTCGTGGGGGACGGCTACGGCAAGTGCGCCCGTGAGTGTTACCAGCAGCTACAGTAATTGTGCCCATGAGTGTTACCAGCTGACACAGTAATTGTGCCCGTGAGTGTTACCAGCTGACACAGTAATTGTGCCCGTGAGTGTTACCAGCTGACACAGTACTTGTGCCGGGGAGTGTTACCAGCTGCCACAGTGAATGCAGTTGTGAGTGTTACCAGCTGAACAGTTACTGCGGTTGTGAGTGTTATCTGCTACAGGGAGTGTTATGAGAGTCTGTTCCTGCAGTAAGTCGCAAGTCAGCCTCCTTTATCTTAACCTGCTGTCTCCTTGCCTTGTCAACAACCCATCGGGTTTTCACTAGTTCCATTGCCTTCTCAGCAACGCAACTGCCACCCTCTGTCCAGACCACACACGCAATAGCCTCTCAAATCGGGTTCCCCTGACCCTGCCTGCACGTGCCTCCCCAGCCCAAGAGGGGGGCGGCGGGGGGGGGGGTGGGGTCACTGTCAGGTGAACCGCAGGGAGTGCTGGAATGCGGAGCATAGTGGCCACACATTCTCAACATTCCCCCTTACCCATCTCTCCCTCCTCTCAGCTCGCACCTCCCCTCCCTCCCCCCAGCTAGCACCTCCCCTACCTCCTCTCAGCTAGCACCTCCCCTCCCTCCTCTCAGCTCGCACCTCCCCTCCCTCCTCTCAGCTAGCACCTCCCCTCCCTCCTCTCAGCTAGCACCTCCCCTCCCTCCTCTCAGCTCGCACCTCCCCTCCCTCCTCTCAGCTAGCACCTCCCCTCCCTCCTCTCAGCTAGCACCTCCCCTCCCTCCTCTCAGCTCGCACCTCCCCTCCCTCCTCTCAGCTCGCACCTCCCCTCCCTCCTCTCAGCTCGCACCTCCCCTCCCTCCTCTCAGCTCGCACCTCCCCTCCTTCCTCTCAGCTCGCACCTCCCCTCCCTCCTCTCAGCTCGCACCTCCCCTCCTTCCTCTCAGCTCGCACCTCCCCTCCTTCCTCTCAGCTCGCACCTCCCCTCCCTCTCCCCAGCTAGCACCTCCCCTCCCTCCTCTCAGCTCGCACCTCCCCTCCCTCCTCTCAGCTAGCACCTCCCCTCCCTCCTCTCAGCTAGCACCTCCCCTCCCTCCTCTCAGCTCGCACCTCCCCTCCCTCCTCTCAGCTAGCACCTCCCCTCCCTCCTCTCAGCTCGCACCTTCCCTCCCTCTCAGCTCGCACCTCCCCTCCTTCCTCTCAGCTCGCACCTCCCCTCCCTCCTCTCAGCTCGCACCTCCCCTCCTTCCTCTCAGCTCGCACCTCCCCTCCTTCCTCTCAGCTCGCACCTCCCCTCCCTCCTCTCAGCTCGCACCTCCCCTCCCTCCTCTCAGCTCGCACCTCCCCTCCTTCCTCTCAGCTCGCACCTCCCCTCCCTCCTCTCAGCTCGCACCTCCCCTCCTTCCTCTCAGCTCGCACCTTCCCTCCTTCCTCTCAGCTCGCACCTCCCCTCCCTCCTCTCAGCTCGCACCTCCCCTCCCTCCTCTCAGCTCGCACCTCCCCTCCTTCCTCTCAGCTCGCACCTCCCCTCCCTCCTCTCAGCTCGCACCTCCCCTCCTTCCTCTCAGCTCGCACCTCCCCTCCCTCCTCTCAGCTCGCACCTCCCCTCCCTCCTCAGCTCGCACCTCCCCTCCTTCCTCTCAGCTCGCACCTCCCTTCCTCCTCTCAGCTCGCACCTCCCCTCCCTCCTCTCAGCTCGCACCCCCCCTCCCTCCTGTCAGCTCGCACCTCTTACCCCACTCGCTCCCCCCCCCTCCCCTCTCCTGCCCGTGTTCCCCCCAGCCCAAGGCGTTGGGCGCTGCCGGGTGAACCACGGGGGGTGCTGGAACGCGGAGCACAGCGGCCAGACCTTCTCCGCCTGCGATGTGAGTGCGGATGGGATGATGTGAGTGTGGATGGGATGATGTGAGGGCTTGTGATGAGGCTGCAGCTGCCCGCCTGGGTTCACGGGAGACAGATACACGTGTGCATGCCACTGATGAGTGCTCTATGCCCAACCGCATGCATACCACGAATTCCACCCTTGTCTCTCTCCCCTCTCCCCTCCTTCCATCCCCGCTCCCCTCCCCTCTCCCCCCTCCCCAGGACACGTCTATGTTTGGCACGGGCTGCAGCTGCCCGCATGGGTTCACAGGAGACGGGTACACATGTGTGGATAGGGACGAGTGCGCGGCAGACTCCCCGGTGTGCAAGTGCCCCGACTGCCACTGCTCCAACACCTTTGGCTCCTTCGACTGCCACTACCCCCCCTCCCTAACTCCTCTTCCTTCCAAACACCTCCCACCCCCTTTCCCAGGACACGTCTATGTTTGGCACAGGCTGCAGCTGCCCGCCTGGGTTCACAGGAGACGGCTACACATGTGTGGATAGGGACGAGTGTGCGGCAGACTCCCCGGTGTGCAAGTGCCCCGACTGCCACTGCTCCAACACCTTCGGCTCTTTTGATTGTTCCTGCGCTGGGGGGCTCGTCTATATGCGCGACTCAGATGCCTGTATCAGTGAGTGGCTCAGACGCCCGTTTCAGTGAGTGGCACGGACGCCTGTTTCAGTGAGTGTGGCTGCGTTTGCGAGAAGTAGAGATAGCAGGTGTGCGTGTTTTCATGTGGGTGATGTTAGTGAGAGAGAGGCGGGGAGAGAGACAGAGTGTGTGTGGCTGTGTGTGACTCTTGAGTTGACTCAAAGCTCACCTCTCCAGACTCTATGGTGTGCAAGTGCCCCGACTGCCACTGGTCCAACACCTTTGGCTCCTTTGACTGCTCCTGCGCTGGCGGGCTTGTGTATATGTGTGACTCAGACACCTGCATTAGTAAGTGTGGCTGCTAGCAGTGTAGCTTCAGTGAGTGTGGCACTGTGGCTTCCTTTGTGAGTGCCTTCACCTCACACGTGTTTGCCATCATGGTGCCTTGAGGCACAAAGGCGCCTCTAAAGCTCTTCTTTCTAACCCCTCCCCTTTACCCCTCTCCCACCTCGCACTTGTGGTGGTTTGGCGCCCTAGTCACTCCTTCGTATCTCTCTCTCGCAAGGTCTTTGCGATCGTGGTACACGCGTGACGCGTCATACCCTCTAAACCCTCTCTCTGCCCCCCCCCCCCCCCCTTCCCCTCTCCCTTCCTCCAGGCGGCAGCTTCACGTCACACGCGTCTGGTAAATTCTTGGCCATCGTGGTGGCTCGAGGATCCTTGTGGCCGTCTAAAGCTTTACTTTCTTCCCCCTCCCTCTCCCGCCTCCCCTCCTTCCTCCAGTCGGCGGCTTCACGTCGCACATGTTTGGCAAGGTGTTTGCCATCGTGGTGGCTGCTCTCATCTTCTTCCCTTTTCTCCCCCCTTCCCTCCCCTCGCCCTACCACCCCCCCTCCCCCCGCCCCCCTCCCAGACGGCGGCTTCACGTCGCACATGTTTGGCAAGGTGTTTGCCATCGTGGTGGCTGCTCTCATCCTCGCTGCTCTCATCAGCTTCGGCATCTACAAGTACCGCCTGAGGGTGAGTCAACGCGAGTCAATGGGAGTCAAGGGCGTTCAGGTGCAGGTATACAGGTGCCCCAAAGCTGCGCACCACTACGTGCTGCTGCGCATGCTCACCATCATGGTCGCGCACCACTACATAATGCTGGGCATGCTCACCATCATGGCGCACCACTACATTCTGCTGGGCATGCTGACCATCATGGCGCACCACTACATTCTGCTGGGCATGCTGACCATCATGGCGCACCACTACATAAGGCTGGGCATGCTCACCATCATGGCGCACCACTACATAATGCTGGGCATGCTCACCATCATGGCACACCACTATATAATGCTGGGCATGCTCACCATCATGGTGCACCACTACATAATGCTGGGCATGCTCACCATCATGGCGCGGTTCACATGTTCCGCAATACACATCCTTGCCTCCTTTCTTCCACTCATGGCCTCTGTCTGTGTGGGCATACATGTGTGGGTGCCCAGGCGTACATGGACTCGGAGATCCGCACCATCATGGCGCAGTACATGCCGCTGGACAGCCAGCAGCAGGATGGGGCCACCAGGGAGAGCCTCGTGCAGACCGCATGAGGAGGAGCATGGGCATGGGGCATGGGCATGGGCATGGGCATGGGCATGGGCATGGGCATGGGCATGGGCATGGGCATGGGCATGGGCATGGGCATGGGCATGGGCATGGGCATGGGCATGGGCATGGGCATGGGCATGGGCATGGGGCATGGGGCATGGGGCATGGGCATGGGCATGGGCATGATGGGCATGGTTTACATGTCGAATAACCCATTGGGGTCTGCTGGAGATTCTCGGGGAAGGGCTACAAGTCTCTATGCCTGGGGGGTTATGGGCGCGCTATCCCACTACTTGACAAGCCCTATTAGCACAGTGGTTAGCGACTGTGCTTCTGACATTACAGACATGGGATGGGACGTGCATGAGGGCTAGATACAGACTATCTTGCCTTGAAATATCGTACGCCATTCGAATTTGCACGGATACCAGTCCCTTTCCATGGGCCCTGGTTGTTTGGCGTGTGAGTGATGACGGCTCGGCTCGGCTCTTGTCATCATGGAATGGTAGAGTTGATTCTGATTTCAGAAAGCGGTGGCGGTGTTTGTGGGTTATCATTATCCGTGTGTTGGGTGGGATTGGAGACCAGGGCTGACGTTTTTTAAAAAGGTACCCTGAGCCAACCCCCTATATTTTTTGTTTTTTTACTCTGAAGGGCCTTAAGCAAAAAAATTGGCACTCTGAAATGGCAGAGTCCACAAAGTGACTAGTCTATTTTTTTCAGGTTCCAGAAATTACAATCAGAGTCGCATGTTCTTAAATAGCCTCATGTAAACGAACACTGTGTTGTGCTACTCTTGGCATGAGCCTACACTACTACTACTACCATACGAACCAAGGAACCAACCACTCACTAAGAGCCACCTAGAATTCTGGCGCATCTATGGCAATATCATCATCAGCTCCCTCGTCGCCAGACAGGAATGGATTGTCGACCATCCTTGGAGCATCATCCTCCGCAACATCACCACCCCCCTCCTCCTCAGCCCACCCCTCCCCCTCATACTCTAGCACCTCCACCTCCCCCTTTCCTTCCCCAGTCGTCTCGGCCGCCTCCACTTCAACCTCCAGCTCCTTCCCCTTGCGCTTGTGTTCCGTAGATGCGAAGACAACAGTTCGTGCAGGGCGTCTCAGCTTCAGACGCCTGGTCGCGAGGGCTTTACTCCAGTTGATGTCATACTGCAAAAGCGAGTTGGCCATGAGCTCGGAGAGGTGCACATTGCAAAGGGTGTGTTGGGCTGAGAAAAGCCCTTAGGATCTTTTGCAGAGACTAAGTCCCAGCTGTAAAGACTTGAGACTTGGAGTAGTGCAGCGGAAGTTGAGACGGTTGAACCCTTGTACTAGTATGTGAGAACAAGTGATTGATTAAAGAAACAAGCATACAGCAATATATAGAAGATAAGGAAGCAGTTGTAGAATACAGTTACAGGAACGGTTTATCGAGTCGCACAGCGACTCGATTGCCGCTTCGGTTACCATCCGTGATGTTGTAACGGTCAGTCGCAACCTCCAGTTGCGACCTTTCGAGTCCTTTCGCATTCTTTGTCCGCCCCCTCGTGTAACCTCCGTTGACTCGCGTGCTCCCCTGTAATCTTCCTCGAGTACAGTGTTACACTTCAGAAACGCTTAAGTCCTTGAGATATTTCCAACACTCCCCTTCGTTTCTGGAGTGCTGGAGTGTTCAGATCCGGTGACGTTTGTTTGCCCGGTTAGGAGCATGCAGTAGTCGAATTTTGCTTTCGCCAATTTCTTCGTCAGATAATCTGCGGCCATTTCTGTCGTCGGGCAGTAACTGAGTTGAAGTCTCCCCTTCGCGATTTCATCCTTGACGAAGAAGTACCGCAGGGCGATGTGCTTGGTTCGGTTGGCGAAGCCGTCCTTGTTCGCGATTTTTATCGCAGATTGGTTGTCGCAGAGGAGTGAGAAGGTGGGCAGGGTCGCGATCTTCGCTTCTTCGAGTAACTCTCGTAGGTAGAGTCCTTCCTTGGTCGCAGTACAAAGGGCGATATACTCTGCTTCAGCCGAGGATAGTGCGATTAACTCCTGCTTGCTCGACTGCCAGGAGATAGTTCCGATAGGTTCTAGTCGGTAGATGTAGCCCGTCCTAGACCGTCGATTTTCGCTGTCTCCCGCGTGGTCGGCGTCGACGTATCCGAGTAGTCGTACGGACGGTGTTGTTGCCTTGCTGTAGGTGAGCCCGATCGTCGGCGTGGAGACGAAGTAGAGTAGCGCTCGATTGAGTTCTTCGAGATCTTCCTGTTGCGGCTGCTTCAGATGTGTCGCCAGCTGGCTCGCACTATAGGATAGGTCGGGTCGGCAGGTTACTGTTGCGAATAGTAGACAGCCGAGCTTCTGTTGATACTCCTGGATTTGTTTCGCGGGGAGTTTTGTGGAGGCGCTACTGTTGTTCCCGTAGCGGTAGGGAGTTGGGACCGCAGTCGGTGTTAGACCGAATTTCTTCGCGACGGTGCTTGAGTACTTTCCAGCGTGTAGGTAGAACGCCGTGTCGTCTTCGACGACGTTCAGTCCTAGGTACTGCGTCACCTCGTCGGACACCGTGAGCGTCAGGTCCCTTTTCAGCTCCCCTTCGAACCAGGTGACGATGTCGGTGGTAGAACCGATGTAGAGCAGGTCGTCGACGTAGACGATGAGCAGAATGTAATCTCTTCCCTTCTGTAGTCGGTACATGCCTTGGTCATGTGGTAGCTGTAGGAATCCGATTTTTACGAGCCGGCCGTGAAGGTGCTGCTGCCAGAGCCGTGGGGCTTGCTTGATCCCGTAAAGGGATTTTTTCAGCTGGCATACTTTTGAAGGGTCGTCGATGAATCCGTGGGGTTGTTCGACGAAGATTTCGGCGTCCACAGGTGCGTACAAGAAGGCGTTTGCAACGTCGATTTGCCGTAGTGGTAGTTTCTTCGTGGCCGCGATGGCGAGTAGGATGCGCAGAGAGGTGTGACGGGAGACTGGAGCGAAGGTTTCTGTGTAGTCGGTTCCGTATCGTTGATCGAAGCCTCGTACGACCCATCGAGCTTTGAATCGTTCGATGGAGCCGTCTGAGTTGGTCTTGATGCGGTACACCCATTTCCCCGAGAGAATGTTCTTCCCGTTGATGCTCGTTGCAGGTACCAGTTTCCATGTTTCTCGGTCTTGCAGAGCTTTTAACTCTTTTTCCATTGCTTCCTTCCATTGTGCCTTATGTTCCCCCCCAGAGCCTGCGACAGGGTCGACGGCTCGCGCGGAGAAGGCGGCGGCGGGTGCTGGACGGAGACCCATAGTCCTAGGATCTGCAGTCCCGTGGCTGTGTGTCGAGGGGAGTTTTCATTCTCGGGATAAGCTGCTTCATCACCGTCTTCAGGATCGGGTAAGAAGTTTGGCCCGATGCGTTCGGAAATATTCGAGTCGACGGGGTGTGGTGTAGCGTAGCCTTGGTCAGCGAAGTGGTAAAAGGTGTCGAGGTTGTTGCTATCGAGGGGATTATCTTCATCGAGTGGAACAGGTACGGAGCAGTAGGGGAGTGGTCCGGCAGCCTCCGAGGCTCCAGGGACGTCTTCTTCTGCTGCGTCAGCCTCGGCAGCATGGTCAGCGAAGGAGCGAAGGCCCGCGAAGCCGTCGGTGGGGTCGTCTGAGTTGGCAATGTTGTCCAGGTAATGCTGCAGCGTCAGTCGCTCGTAGAAGATAACATCACGTGATGCCACCGTATTTTTGTCGTGTATGTCGAGAATCTTCCACGCGTGAAAATGTTTGGCGATGCCGAGGTGTAGTCCCCACCGAGCTCGTTGAGTGAAGCGTCCTGCTCGAGCTGTGTGGGGTCTGTATTGTACCATGCAGCCGAAAACTCGAAGTAATTTTGTGCTGCCCCTTTTTCCCGTCCACAGCAGGTGTGGTGATGCGTTGTTGGGGAGCGATGACGAGGACAACAGGTTGTGCAGGTGGACTGCATGTGTCATCGCGTCTGGCCACAGTGTATTGGGCAGCCTCATCCCCAGAAGCAGTTTTCGCATCGTCGTCTGCAAGGTCCGGTTCATGCGTTCTGCTACCCCCTGCTGCTGGTGAGCATAGGGCAGAGACACCAGGCGTCGGATTCCCCTTTCCGCGAGATAGGTCCTGAAGCGTTGTGACTGGTATTCCAGTGCACCGTCTGACTGGAAACTCTTGAGTTTGGTTCCTGACTCTCGTTCGGCGATTGGAAGCCATGTGGTGAAGGCCTCGAAGGCTTGATCGCGCGTTTTGAGATTGAAGTGCCAGACGTATCTGGTTGCGGCGTCGATGAACGTGATGACGTAGTTGAAGTCGGCTTCGGTGTCGTCTCGAGGCATGTTTAGAATATCGCTGTAGACCTTTTCCATCGGAGCGTAAGTGGGTGCGCTTGGATTGTGATGGGCTGGGAAAGGTTGATGAGGAAGATCTGCTTCGGGGCACGTGAAGCATCGTGCTCTTGGTCGGCGAAGTTCTTGGCCGCTCGTCGTTAGAAGGGCGTTACGTTCTAACACCTCTGCTTGTATTGTTTGTAGTATCGTGCTGTTTGCAGGATGTCCGAGACGTTGGTGCCAGATGTCGTCGGGAGCGCGGTGACCGGGCGAGCGGTGGTAGATGTCGGCGTTGGAGAAGAACGCGACGACCGAGGCGGGACTTCGACAAGCTTCTCGTGTGGCGGGCATAAGTTGGTCTGCTTCCGTTGGCGGTCCTCGTGTTGATGGTGGTGGTACTCGGCTGGGTCTTGCTGCCGATACTGCAGGTGATGGTTTTGTTGGGACGCTTGCTGGTACTTGTCTTTCTTGTCTGATAACTGCTAATGCCCGTGTTCTCTCTGCTGCAGGTATGGTGTTGGAGTGCCAGAAGCCGTCACTGTCGAAGTCGGGATCAAGATCTGGTGGGTGAGTCCAGGCGGCGAACGATACGATGCCATCGCTGTCGGCAGTTCCGCGGTCGGGGACGAAGTCCAACACGAAGACACCGGACTTCAGGAGGGCACGACCGATGAAGAGACCGCCCTTCCCGTGGTAAAGTCGGAACTCGTTGGAGAAGGAGTCGCACTCCAGGTGAATCCCCTTAGCCATTAGTTGGCTTACGCTTAGTAGGTTGTATCCCAGATTGTCGACGATGAGGACTTTGTTGAGCTGAAGAATAACGTTTGTCTCCATTGATTGTAACTGAACCACGCCTTGCCTGTTTGTTTTCAGGTTTTCGTTGTTGGCGACGGTGATGACGACGTCGCGGTTGAGGCGTCGCTCGTGTTGTACGAAGCGTCCGGAGGAGCACATGTGTTGACCGCAGCAACTGTCCAAGAACCAGGTGTTCCGCCCGGTGGGTTCGGCGTTAGCGACTGCAGCGTATGTCGGGTTGACCTGAAGTCCTTGCGAGCGCGGCGGCGGGAATTCCTCTTCGTCTGGTGCGTAAGTGGGTGGTGAAGCGGGTGCGCAGTTGTCGATGTGTACCATGCAGTTGATGATGTTGGGTGTTTGTTGTGCAGATGTTGAAGAACGCCTTGGAGGACTTGCTTGAGTGGAAGCGACTTGTGGGTCTGCTGCACGGTAAACGCGAGGGCGGTTGCAGTTGACCTTGGAATGCCCGGAAGTGTGACAGTTGTGGCAGAACGGCGGCACGATGGTGAGTCCTCGGTTGTCGCGTTGATCTTGCTTGCTGCGTCGGTTGTAGTTGTTGTCATTTCTTCTTTGAGTGTAGAAG